GGACAAGATCTATACGCATTTAGAAGAAAATAGACTTAGTAGTGATAGACAGTATGATTTTGTATGGGGCAGATCGTGCCTCACTAACTTGATTGAGTTTTTCTGTGGAGGTGACGAAGTTGATTGAGGGAAAAGCAGTTGATGTCGTCTACGTGGACATCAGTAAAGCCTTTGGCACCAGTCTGCCATGGGGGACCTTGTCAAAGGTGTAGTCACATGGTATCAAGCGTGAGCTCGCAAGATGGACACAGAATTGGCTTAGTCATAGGAGACCAAAGGTAGCAGTGGAAGAATGGTTTTTGGAACGGAGGTCTGTGACTGGACATGTTCCACAGGTATCCGTGCTGGGGCCTTTGCTATTTGTGATCTACCTAAGTGATTTGGAGGAAAATGTTGCTGGTCTAATTAGTAAGTTTGTGGACGATATAAAGATTGATGGATTTATGGATAGTGAGGAGGATTGTCAGAGTGTACAGTAGGATATAGATCAGTTGGAGGCATGGGCAGAAAAATGGCAGATGGAGTTTAATCCGGACAAATGTGAGGTGATGCATTTGGGAAGGTCAAGTGCAGGTGGAAGTTTATGCAGTGAATGGCAGAACCCTTTGGTGTATTGATATGCAAAGGGATCTGGGTGTGCAGGTCCACAGATCACTGAAGGCGGCAATGCAGGTAGATAAGGTAGTGAAAAAGGCTTATGGCATGCTTGCCTTTATTAGAACAGTCATTGAGTATAAGGATAGACAAGATATGCTGCAACTTTATAGAACTTTAGTTAGGCCACACTTGGAGTACTGCATACAGTTCTAGTCACCACACTAGTAGAAGGATGTAGATGCTTTGGAGAGGTTACAGAAAAGTTTTACCAGGATGCTGTCTGGTATGGGGGATTTTAGCTATGAGGAAAGGTTGGCTAGACTTGGTTTGCTTTCACTGGAATGCAGCAGGTTGAGGAATAACCTAATAGAAGTTTATAAGATTGTGAATGGCATGGAGAGAATGGAAAGTATGAGGCTTTTTCCTAGGGCGCAGGGGTCAGTTACTAGGGGGACACAGGTTCAAGGTATGAGGGGGGACATTTTTAAGAGAGCTGTGTGAGGCATGGTTTTCACACAAACGGTGTTGACTGCCTGGAACGTGTTGCCGGAGGAGGTGGTGGAAGGAGACGCAATAGCAGCATTCGAGAAGCACCTGGATGAATACATGAATAGGAAGGGAATTGAGGGATACGCATCCTGTAAGTGAAGACAGTTTTAGTATGGAAAGGGAAAATGTGTTTGTGCAGGCTTGGAGGGCTAAAGGCCTGTTCCTGTGCTGCATTGTTCTTTTGTTGAACATGTTAAGCTTCGTGTTGAGTAGAATATCTCCTAATGATCATTAGCTATTTCTATACCATTCATTCATATTTGCCCACTTTTCCTTCCAACTTGCATTTTGTCCAGTGCACGAGTTAAATGCCATGTGCCATTATTCAGCCTGCATACACTTTTTTTATTCAATTCCTTTTGCAATTTCTGAGTTGTTTGTTAATTCTTTGCTCTTTGGGTTTGGTATCAACTTTGACTAATTGTCACACTTAAATTATTGAAACAAATTTTAAAATAATTTATGCAAATGCTGAGCCTTGGGACATCCCATTCAGTATTTTCTTCCCCTTTACATTAACTTGACATGTCAGCTTTTGAAGAAATTCTGCTCAGTGATTCAGTCCCTTCTAATCATAAAAAGTTGCATTTATATGGTGACTTTCACGATTTTGGAATGTCTTGAAGTGCCATTTGTGGTCACAGTAGCAATGTAATCTCATCGTTAACATGACTTTGCATGGCCACTGCTTGTTTTTTTAAAACTAGTTTGAGGATCTTTTGCGTCATTCACTTTACTAACTCCTCTGAATCAGTATGCCAGAAGTAATTTGTGACCTGCATCATTTAAACAAAAGTGATAAAGCTCACTGTTTAGCATGTTATTTGAAAACTGGTGCTGATGATACTTGTAATCCTGGCTGTTGATTTTGACTTGCTTAGTTGATATTCCCTTTTTGCAACAAATAAAAATGAATGAATTTCGCAAACATGTTTGTTTCTGTGGGAGGATTGTAGATTATTTGTCACACCTTCCAACATTGGTTGTTCGTAGCCTTGATGTGGTACACTGCGTTGCTAGATGCGCAGCAGTAACTGTCCGCATTGTTCTGCTCATAGGAAGCAGACTCTTCATTGTGACTATATAACTGAACTTGATTAATTTTCTGTTGTCATTTCACGTCAACTGAAGAGATTCACAGCAGTCAATAGTTCCACTCATTCAGCAACATGGTCTGTTTGTTTCTGTTCAGTCAAAGACCAAAGTGTTTGGAAGTTTATAATAAAATAGTCTGGAGAAGACTTTTTAAAAAAAGAATAAAATTAAGCATTGTGTATCTGCATGAGTTGGCTGTACGTAGGAGAGGGATGGTTCTATTGGTGTGAAATGTTTTCGGACAAAGCTGTTACTTAGAAAACAAATGAATAAACTAATAATATAAATAGTAAAGCTTTGTGAGAGAATGGGCCACTTGACCCAAGGTGATTTTTCTAGGTAACCTGCTTTTAACTACTTTATGAAAACTAAGGATCAAATGAAGGAATAAGCATCGAAGCAGTCGTATTTGCAATCAAGGGCTTGAAATGGAAAAGCTACTTTTATTTTCAGGTATAGATTTGTTTTTTGTGGATTGTAAGCATCCAGCAGAACTAGATGGATGTTTTAGATGGAGTACTTGGTGTGCAATCTTCAAGTAATTTTCTTTTGGCCGATATGTTCATTTTTAAAAAAAAAGTATCCTAAACCATCTTTTATCTGAATTTATTTTTTAAACTTAGATGTTCCATTTTCTATAGGCATTTTGCGTAGTCAGCATTGATACATGATGACATTTGAAATTAGTTCATTTTCTTTGAATGTACTGATACAACATTCTGGTGTTGTGACACATGTTTAAAAAAATTGACAGTAAGATTGCAAACTTTTGCCTTAGTCAATATAATTTTTATATGGCCTGATAGAAAAGTGAGGAATATTTGTGGGCAGGTTTGCAACAATATGTAGTTTGCTTCTAGTGGTTCCATCTAGTGATTGGATATTTATTTATTTATTAATTTAATATTAAGTTCAGTAATTTTAGGGCCTGACACCTCCTTCCATGTCCATTACCCAACACCACACCTCAGGCCCTGTCATGACATAGGCTGCTTTCAGCAGAGCCTACCTATTTTCATCTACCAGTGGTCTTTATTATCAATTTTTCTTTCTTGGCTGACCATTATACATCTCTTTGTCAGCCCTTTGGACTCCATTTTCACCTATTGAGTACTTCTTTCCCTCTACCACCCCTGTCTTCAGCAAATATACTACCTTTTCCTAGCTACCATCAGTTCTGAAGAAGGGTCAGTAGACCTGAAATGTTAACTCTACTTTCTCCACAAATGCTACCAGACTTACTGAGTTTCTCTAGCAATTTGTTTTTGTTTCAGATTTCCAGCATCTGCACTTCTTTTGTTCCATTCAAATATTTCTTGTATAGTATAATACTTTTCATGGTTTTATTCCTTACTAGACGGCAATAGACAGTTCAGAGCATTAGTAGACAAGAAGCAGTTTTCAGATGGTTGCAGGTATTTTGTGTAATAAATGTTTACATTCTTTGTTAAAAGTTCGCTCATAGTCTCTTCTGAATGTGCTCAGTGACTGGCCTCCACAGTGGTGGGGGAGAAAAGGCAAAACAAGACTTCATGGTCTATAAGTCAGGTTTCACTCTAGGATCTGACTTGTCCAGTATTTGCATCAGCTGAGATCATAACACTGCCTGCTTGATGCTTTGTATGGTTTAATTGTCAAATCATGGGATGGCATTAATGAACCAAATATCATCTGATCATTCAAGAAAGGTAGATTATCCAAATCAATGGCTAAGAGGGATACAATTTTTGTGGTGATTCTGAAAAAATCGCATGATTCAGAGTGGGATCCTTGCAATAATGTCATAGTCAAGGTGACTTTGAATGAATTTTATGAACTCTTTATTTTGGATGCTGAAGATAATGTATTTGATGGTCTTCAAATGCTTGGAGTTATTTAGAAATAATTTTGTACAATTAATTCATTCAATAAATGGTGCCATACTATGAAGTGTCTTTGGACCTTTTATCACTTTAAAGGCACTATATAAATATAAGTGTTTCAGAATACCAAAATTGCAGCTGTCTCAACAATAATAATAACAATAAATCTCTTTCACTGTCTCAATTCTTTCGCAGAGTTAATGATGTAACACTATTTTACTTTCTAAATAACACATCAGTGAATGCAAGACTGTTAAATTTTTTCCTGTTTGTTTACAAATGAGCAACAGTCTGATATGAGGACTACCTGCGAATTGCTTCTTTCGTACTAATGCTCTGAATTATCTATCCAGTTGCTGTCTGGTTAGGAATTTTTTTTTAAACATGCTAATCAAGCTATTGCATTCAGGTTTGAACCAATCTAGCCATTTAATTCTCAATTAATATTGAAAACTACTGTTCAGTCTGTTTGTTTTGAAGATTCAACTGCATCATACTGTGTTAACAAGTGTTTGCATATAGTTCAGCCTTTGTGGCCTCCCTCCCCTCAATCAACTTCATTCTTCTTTATAAAAATTGTGTACATGTTATTTGCCAAGAGGTGGACAAAAAAGAGCCATCTGAACAATTCTGTTTTAGCAGGGCTGTTGCTTTTTTCTTTAAGAAGGCAGGGGAACAAAGCTGAACCCAACTTGGTTAACACTGGACTGCTATACAAGTTGTAAACACAGCCCAAAGTAATAGGAGGGAGGTGGGAAGCAATTGGTCACCTCACTGTTACGAGTCTGATATTCAAATTAATGAGACTTGTTTCTGTTGCTACTTTGTATGATATTACAGATAACTAAATTTGACGCAAACTTTGCAATCATATTGTATTTTGTTTCCTTCCTCTAGTGAGCACTTGTCATGTTCCTTTACATTTTTCTTGCATGGGGATAGTAAAGTCTGTACCAGTGTTGAGATAAACCAACATCAACCAGTATACCATCTCAGTGAGCAACATGTCACTGCAGCCCAGGGTTCCTCTAACCCCTTCCAAGGTAGGAATACTTTATTTCTGAAAAAATAGAAGTTGTAAAAAAGCTCTTTTGATGTATGTGTGGGGCGGGAGAAGGCTTAAGTGGGACAGATGTGTTAAATGCCAGCCCTACTGGTCTTGTGAATAAAAACAGTACCTGGTTTACTTTCAGACTTCAGGCAAGGAAATTGTACCTTGTGCAAAAAACCAGCTGGTGAGATGATCTGATTTGGATTACTGTAATTTACCTCCATTATTCCTGATCCATGGTATCCATTGATCTTGACTGGAAAATGTGAATATATAACCCTGTATTGAGAACAGGATTTGGCTTAGCTGTGATGCCATGTACAGATGAGCAGTAATAAGAATACTCTCGTCTATATTTAATTACGCAGAATAAGGGACTGGAAAACTACTACTGCCTATCAAGTAAGAGACTGCACTATCAGAGGGAAGGGGGAAATGTCAAATTGTAATGTTCTCAATCAATCAAAACAAACTGCAGTTTTTGTTTTGTTTCAAGGTTCTGTACGCGAATAGGACTTTTGAAATATTGAAAAAACCCACTTTGCTTGTATCTGCACTGATCTTTCCCTCGGGCCCCATCTAATTAATCATTCTCCCTAAAGGATGCATTGTATGTTTCCTATAGCAAGGTATTTCAGGCTTCTAGCAGTCAGTGTAACGATACTTCTCTGAACCTCTTCCTTATTTCCTTAAGCAACTTCTTGGATGTTGATCTTTCATCACTGACTCCCATTATCTTAAGGCAATTGTTCTTTTCTGAAATCTATTGCTTTGGATTTTTATTCATTCCCCGCTTGCTGAGCACATTTATGATCTGCTTCTAGGGCTGTGGATGTGCACCTGTTCCCAAATTCGGCTTGGGATGTCCAGTACAGAGTTAACTTCACTCTCTCTCTCTGTTTTGATCTGATAATGAGTCTCCATTAAGTTTCACAAAGAACTCTCTTGTAACTTGTTAACTTCCATTACTTGCACGCATCTTTGACCTGATTCTCTTGGCACTTATTTCCTGCTATGAGCTTTTACTTGCCTGGAGCCAGTTTTAAGGTTGCCCGAATTCATTCCACATATATTTTTTCCCATGGAGGACAATTGCAACCAGTAAACTGAAGAATATTTGATCCTGTCAGTCTGTACTGAATTAGAACCGGGTCTCGGGAGACGAGCTAGCATGTTGATTCTAGCATTCAGCCATCAATGTATTAAGTCTTTGTCAATGTGTATTCTGATCCTTTCTTTCTAGTGATCCTCAGCCCCTTTGGATTAAATGGTACCCTGACAGGCCAGTCTTTCAAACTATCTGATCCTCCCACCCTTAAACTGATAGAAGAATGGAAGCAGTTTTATCCAATTCAGACCAGCTCAAAGGAAACCACAGATGACAAACAGGAAGAGGTAGACTGGGATGATGACTCAGTAGCAGCTGTAGAAGTCATTGTTGGTAAGTGGAATTGAAAGGGTTGAACGGGTTTTGCTGATTTGATGGACCTTTTTGTAAATTACTTTCTTTTAGTTTGAAATCTGTAAACAGCTGGTATTGTCTAGCAACAAAACCTTTAACGCAAAATAGCATTTTTCCTCCATATTTCTGAATTTAAAAATAAATTGATTAATCAACTTTTTAAAAAGCATGCCTTATTTCTATGATCTATGCTAGGAGAGTATTTGCTGGAGAAATGTGAAAGTAATAATACATGGATTGAATTTAGGATTTTGTATGTCACTAAGAAAAGTTTTAGTCTTTTTATTTGAAATTCAGAAGGGAAAAGAATCTATTACAGAAACTCTAAAGATAGATAAACATGGTGTGCCACACTGTTTTATATCACAGTACTTTAATTTATCAACTTACAAAGTTTGCATGGGAAATTTATATTCAAAATTAATTACTTGAGAAATAATAGCATAAGACATAGGTATGTAATGAGTTTGACTTGATTGGGGAGCTTTAGGTGAAGGAACCCCTCGAGGTAGTGACCACAGTATGATGGAATTCACCCTGCAGTTTGAGTGGTGAACCTAGAATCAAGTATTACATTTGAGTAAAGATAATTCTAGAGACATGAGGGAGGAGCTCATGTCTAGAGTTGATTGGAAGAGGAGCCTAGCAGAAAAGATAGTGGAGCAGCAATGGCAGGAATTTCTTGGGGTAATTCAGGAGGCAGAATTCAGAAATTCATCCCAAGGAAGTAGAAACATACCACTGGGAAGGATGAGGGAACTATGGCTGACCAGGGAAGTCGGGGGCATGTGTAAAAGCAAAAGAAAAAACATACAATGTGGTGAAAATTAGTGGGAAACCAGAGGATTAGGAAGCTTTCAAAAACCGGCAGAGGGCACCTAAGAAAGCAATAAGTGGGGAGAAGTTGATATTTAAAATTAGCTAGCTAGTAATATAAAAGATGACAAAAGAATTTTTAGATAAGTATAAGGTGAGCAAGAGGCGAGAGTGGACAAAGAGTGGAGGAGTAGTAATGGGGAAATGAAGAAATCATGGTGGAACTGAATAGGTATTTTGCACCAGTCTTTACAGTGGAAGACACCAACAGAATAACAGAACTTCAGGAAAGTCAGGGGGCAGAGTGAGTGTAATGGCCATCACTAAGGAGAAGATGCTGCTGAAGCTGAAAGGTCTGAAGGTGGATGAGTCACCTGGACCAGATGATGTATTCTCCAGAGTCAGAAGGTGATAGCTGAAGAGATTGTGGAAGCATTGGTGGAGATCTTTCGGGAACCAGAGGGAAAATCGCTAATTTACATCCCTGTTTAAGGATGGAGCGAGGCAGAAGATGGGAAATTAAATGCCAGTTAGCCTGACCTTGGTTATTTGTAAAATTTTAGAGTCCATTATTAAGGATGAGATTGCAGAGTACTTAGAGGTGCGTGATAAGATAGGGCTGAGTCAACACTGCTTCGTCGAGGGAAGGTTATGCCTGATAAATCTGTTAGAATTATTTGAAGAGGTAGCAATCAAGTTCAACAAAAGAGAGCCAGTGGACATGACTTATTTGGATTTCCAGAAGACCTTTGACAAAGTACTGCACAGGAGGCTGCCAAGTACAATAAGAGCCCATGGTTTTGGGGGGCAAGGTACTACCATGGATAATAGATTAGTTGAATGGCTGAAGGCAGAGTGTGGGATAAAGAACTCTTCTTCAGGATGGCAGGTAACTGGTGGTGCTTGCAAAGGTCACTGCTGGGACCACAACTATTCAGGTTATACATTAATGATATGGACGAAGAAACTGAGGGCATTGTTGCTAAGTTTTCAGATGGCACAAAGATAGGTGGAGGGGCAGGTAGTGTTGAGAAAGTGGGGGGATTGCAGAAGGACTTGGTCGGGCTAGAAGAGTGGGATAGAAGTGGCAGATGGAATACAATATTGGAAGGTGTGAGGTTATGTGTTTTGGTAGGAAGAATAAAGATGTAGACTATTTTCTAAGTGGGGAAACGCTTCAGAAATCTGCAGCACAAAGGGATATAGAAGTCCTAATTCAGGATTCTCTTAAGGTTAACATGCAAGTTCATTTGGCAGTTAGGAAGGCAAATGCAGTGTCAACATTCATTTCACGAGGACTAGAATACAAGAGCAGGGATGTACTGCTAAGGCTGTGTTTGGAATATTCTGAGCAGTTTTGAATTCCGTATCTAAAGAAGGATGTCTTGGCGTTGGTAGGGTTTACAAGGAATTTTACAAGAATGATCCCAGGGATGCAGGTTTTGTCATATGAGGAATATTTGAGAACCCTACAATTGTACTTAAAGTTTAGAAGAATGGGCTGGGGCAGAATCTGATTGTAACTTAGAGAATATGGAAAGACCTGGATAGGGTAGATGTGGAGAAGATATCTCCACTTGTAGGAGATGCTATAACCTGAGGCACGGCCTCAGTGAAGGGGTGACCCTTTAGAATTGAAATGAGGGAGAATTTCTTCAGCCAGAGGGTGATTAATCTGTGGAACTCAGTGCTGCAGAGGGTTGTGGAGTCCAAGTCTTTGGGTGTATTTAAGACAGACGGGTTCTTGATTAGTAAGGTGGGGGCGGGGTCAACGGCTACAGGGAAAAGGCCAGAAGAATGGGGTTGAGAAACCTAACAGCAATGATCAAATGGCGGAGCACCACATCCAAGCAAGTAAAATGTGGTAGGTGCTGGACTTCTGAAATAAAAACAGAATGTGGAGAAACTTGACAGGTCTGTCAGCATCTATAGAGAGAGAAATGTTTTGAGTTCAATGTGTCCTCTTTGGAACTGAAGAGTTGGAAATGTGATGTGTTTAATGCTGTTGAAAAAGGGGTTGAGGCAAGTCAAACAACTGGGATTGTTAGTGAAAGATTAGTGGGCGAATAAGATTCGAGATCAGCGGTGTCATGGAACAAATGTGAATGCTAATGGTTGAAAAAGAACAAATTATAGATCCAGCATGATGTTAACAATAGAACAAAGATGGGCTCTGACTGAAAATCCAGACGAAAACAAGGTATACATTGATGGGGGTGGGACAGAAATGATGTCATTGTCCTCCGTTTCCAGCGAAGAATCATTGAAAGTTTTTCTGAACCAAAAAAATTAAATTGGTGTATGGAATTTTCTTTAAAAGGCACTTTTTTTGTGTTATCTTATTTTCATGTATGTGTATGTATTTGTATTGAGAAATGTAAAGGTAACGATTTACAGATGCTGACAGACCTAAGTTTCTTCAAGCTTATTGATTTTATTCGACATATTAACAACTCTGAGTCGTAAGAGGCGGACCTCTCATTTGACCCCTAGTCTAAGTATTCCTCACAAAAGGAAACATTCTCCTGGTATCCATCCTATCAAACTCCCACAGGATCATCCATCTTCCAGTGAGATTGCCTTCAAATTCATTCTTCAAATTTCCAATGGATATAGGCTCAATCTGTTCAACTTTTCTCCATAAGGTAAAAATTCTTGCCAGGAGTGAGTTTAGTGAACCTTCTCTGAACTGCTTGCAAAACAATTACCTTATTTCAAAAAGGACACCAAAAGTGTACATAGTATTCCAGATGTGATCTCGTCAAGACCCTGTACAGCTTCACTAAAACATTCCTATTTTTATATTCCATTCCCCTTGCTTTAAATGAAAACATTCCATTTTGCCTTTTTAATCACATGCTGTACCTGCATACAAACTTTTATGCAATTATGTATAGTGGACACAGCTCCTTCTATACCAGCAAGTTCTTCCATTTAAATAGGAATAGATTTTTTTGTTTTTGGCTCTGAAATGTACTGCTGTCAGAAATTGTCCTGACTACACTGTGTGAAATCATTTTCCAGGTTACCTTAGCAAATCTGATTCACACAGTCAACATGCAGATCAGAATCACCTCATAATTGTGAGATTTTTCTTGCATACCCCACTTATTTCTGTATACTCTGTCCTACAGTGTAATTACTATTAGGAGGCTTATGAAGTTATTTCTGCCAACTTCCTTTTAATTTCCTATTTTGTTATCTCTACCAAAATGAATTACAGAGCTTGCTGTTTTTAGTGAAGGCCATCTCTCAAGACTACTGTTGACACCCTTAATTATCAGAGCTGCCCCACCATCTTTTCCTAGTTTCCTAACTCTTCAGAAAATGGAATGCACTTCAACATTAAGGTCCTAACATTTGGACAACCTGCACCTATGTCTCTCTAATGGTTATTTAGTCATCCATATTTATTTCTAATCTATTCTAACAATTTATCCATTTCATTACAAATGCTGCACACAGATTTAGAGCTTTTATTTCTATCTTTTTGCCATTATTACAATTCTTGTACTGCTTGTAAACAAAGCATTTCACTGTCGTTCGGTACACGTGACAATAAATCAGTCAGTCCACCTTGACCTTGCACGTTGGTGCACTGTTTAAAATAAGTGTGCTCTGTCTTTCTTAATGCATTCTGATTATCATTGGCCAACTTGCCGCCCTGTTTATCTCATTATTTCCCTCTGATTTGCAACATTTCCTCTCTCAATCCCTTCTTCCGCTTTTTAGTTTACTGCCCATTCTGCTGTGCCATTCGTGTAGCTCACTGACATGGTTCAGGTTAAGATCATCCCATTGGTGCATCCTCAGTTTCCCTCATGCTAGTGACACATAAATCTAAATCCATTTCTTTGCATTAATCTTTGAGCTGTGCATTCATCTCTAATCTTATTTGCCCTACATCAGTTTTGTTCATAGATCAGGTAATAACCCAGACATTATTAGCTTTCAAACGTCTGCTTTTAAATTTACTTCCTAGAAGCAGAACCTCCTTCCTAGTTCTATGTTGTTGGTACCCGTGTGGACCATGACAAATGGATCCTATCCCTCCCAATCCACTTCCTCTCCTGTGCAAAGCTGAGTCCCCGGGCCCTGGCACTGTGCAAGCAACACTGCCTTCTGAGCTGATGCTTTTAACAGCAGAGAGCTGTGTGACCCCCTGACTATGCTGTTGTCTTCCTCCACCTCATGGTCCTCCTCCCAAAACTACTTGGCTTCCTTCTGTGCTTAAATGGTTTGTATTTCATATCTGCCTCCCCTGTCCTGCATGTGCTCCATATGCCTTAGCCTATTGAGACAGTTCGGGATGAGGTGCTTTCTTTTCTTGTATTCTGTGGGTTGGCTGTGTTGGTCCTTTATTTTTGTTCATGAAATTAAATCACAATGTTGTGAAAATTATTCTGTTAGATCTACAGAAATGCTTTTTGTGCACATTGTGAAGCTATTTTGTAGTTTAAATGAAATAAACTGTGTGGTTCATGGATCTAATTCCAACTTATGTCTGCTACTGCCCTGAAACATGCTTGTATTTAATGATGCATATGATTTTAAATAGACTTATTGTTTGAGAAATAAATTTGATATGCAGGAAAGTTCTGGGCCAAGTTGTATATTTGTGAGATTTGTAACGGGACTAATGTTGCAACGTAACATTTTGTCATTCCTGGTACTATCAATTTACATCAGATATTCAATTTAGCAATGAACATTAATATCTTTATCAAAGATGCTCTTTGTTAATGTCTGTTATTTTTTTTTATAGCTGGTGTGCGAATGGTGTACCCAGCTTGCTTTGTTTTGGTGCCTCAGCCTGATGTTGCCACTGGCATCTTAAGCAGCTCCACTGGGACGACGCATTGCACAGCTGCATACACAAGTGCTCACCAAGTGCCTCCCCCAATAAGGGATCCAGCCATTTCCTCTGTGACCTTGACTCCACCCACATCACCAGAAGAAACTGAAACAGGTAATATACTGGGGACTGGTATGACTTGTGTTTTCTGCATCTCATTAGTCACAACAGATACCAACTATTTCCTTCATTTTCTATTAGATCCATAGCATCCAGGTTTGTGTCTTTGCAACTATCATGTGTATGTTGCCACTTAAATTTGGAAGACGTATGATTTTGGTTTATTCACCAAGCTTTAATGTTATAATCCAGTTTGTTACTTAAACGTTACATTCTGAGCTATGATTGAGCGCCGGGCATTACATTTTGTTTGTTCTGGCCTTGGATTCTGCAGCTTCTTTTTCTTGAGATAAAACTGTTTCCAGTCACCTGATTGATATGGCCCATTCTGTGCTGAATGATACGAGTTGTGCCATTTATGCATATTAGGTTATTTTAAAGAACTGCCTAATTTAACCCCACACTTGGCTTTTTCCCCATAATGCTGGAAAAGTAGTTTTCTCCTGGCAGATGCACTTTAATGTGGATAAGTTTGAAGTGATGCACTCTGAGGGAAAAAGAAAACACATGGCAGGCAGTATAATCTAAATTGGATTGTTTCAAAAATATTTTGACTTATCTGGTCATCATGTGCAAGATACTTTGGGTGTTGCTCTATATGGCTTAGGTCTGGTTCAAATGCTGCTCCTGCACTGTGGCAGTTTTCTGCATTATCTTCCATTTGATCTGGTGATTAAAAAGAAGACCAGTTTCGCAGGGGAACTGTGTGCAAATCTCTAGAAAAAGTTGGATGACCATTTTTTAAGTGCCATTGCAGCAAGCTGGGTAGAGCCACTTTGTGTAAACGTCAGGCACTGTGTTATATGGTTTTGTCTGTTTCTTTGTGTTGCAAAGAATGGTTCTGACCACACTGCCATGGAATCCTCCATTCAGATATAGAATCCCCATAATGTGGATCCAGGCCATACGGCCTATTGAGTCCACATCGACCCTCTAAAGACCGTCCCACCTGGACCCACTCCCCTACTCTATTCCTGTAACCCTGCATTTCCCATAGTTAGCCCACCTAGCCTGCACATCCCTGGACACAATGGGCAAGTTAGCATGGCCAATCCACCTAACCTGCACATCTTTGGACTGTGGGAGGGAACCGAAGCACCCAGGGGAAACCCATGCAGACATGGGGAGAATGTACAAGCTCCACACAGACAGGCACCTGAAGGTGGAATTGAATTAGGGTCCTTGGCGCTGTGAGCTGCTGTACCGCCCTGTGCTGTTCAGCTGGATCAGACCGTACCATCTCTCCCTCATAGAGAAGTTTGTGCAGAAAAACCACTTTGATTCCATCCATCAGGTAGTAGTACGGATGTAATGTCATCAAGGCTGTGCGCAAAAGACGGATGGTGTGCCCAGTGGATGGTGCCCTGAACAAACTTCCAGTTATTTAGAATGCCTCACTGTCAGAACTTTGAAATCAGCATCGAGACATACTTGGATGGAAAAGGAGGGGACTTCCCTGTCAGGTCGTTCCTGCACGCCCAAAGTCTCACTGCCTCTCTGTCCTGCCCTCAAAGTGGTTGCAGCGAGAAGAGACTGTCACCCACCACCTTCTGAAACATGACTTTACAAATAGGTCCGACAAGATATGATGGGTTTTGTCAAAGATCATCCTGAGTACCTCCTAAAAAAGGACTTTAGGTTTGTGGGCTGTTTTTGGGAACTTTTTGAAAGATGCTAGCCCCTTGGTCTGCCCAAGTCTTGTTTCTTTTCCTATGCAAAGAGCTGTCGATGACAGTGTTGCAGGCTGGCATATTCCAAGATCCAGGATACTGTGCTGAGGGACAAACTAAAGCTTGGGGCAGATACCACAGTAGCGAAGTCAGGAAAGACAACTGTCAATGGCCCATCTATCATGGTATGCTGAGTGATGGGAAACCAAATAAAAATATATATGCTGTAAGCACTAGTCCATGTTTGACAACATGTTAAATGAACATCAAATACTGTGGAAGTCTATTTTAATGCACTTCACTATGCTGTTATGATCTCAGTTGAAATTAATAGTGGCCAAGTCAGATGCCAGGGTGAAACTTGGCTTGATGGACTATAAATATTTTAGTTTTAGAATTTGGTTACTGTGGTCAGTCACTGGAAGCCTCTTGTGAATCTGTCAACATATTTTTAACAAAAGAACGTTAAAGTGGATTACACATAAAAGGGAAAAAAGTGCATAAAATTTTAGTGTACAAATGCTATTTGAAACAAGCTTATTACATGTATCAGAAGTAATTTTCTAACATTTTTACTCTCAACAGCATCCTCATTGAAGTGTCACTTTGTCTGCGCCAAAGTCCCTTCTTCAGTCGGCATAACTAAATGTATCTTTCTAGCAAGCCTCCGCATTCACTAGATGCTGGCCTCTTTAGTTGATGTCTTTTCATGTTCCTTAAACTGATGTTCTCCAGCCTTTGGTTTCCGGAGCTTCTCAAGACCACTTTCTCTTGTCCAGACTGTTCTGGAGACTGCTAAATTGTACCACTACTGTTGTAGGTCTTTTCTTTTCTGAAGGAAGCCTACATAGACACTCTGTGAAAGAAACACTCCTTGAACTTCTGGTTGATTCGTTCTGCCCCTCTAAAGAGAAATGTAGTCTGTCCCTGTGTCACATGATGACTTTAGAAACAACAGCAGAATTTTTTTTTTTAATGTGCTGAACTAATCACCAAGAATTTTAAAAACCTTTATCTGGATGCAGTTAAACAAAACTTCAGGCACTGCAGGGCCATGCTTAGAACTCAGCATTAAACTAAAACATTCTGCTTCAACACGCATAATAAAAATTACAAATCAAACTTGAAGCTATAGATGGTTCTGTCCACTTCAAAAGCCAAATTTCCAAATAATAGTAATAAGGTATCATGAACTTTCATCACAATAACACAAATTTGCTTATTGCTTGACAGTCTTGTGGTTCCCTGAAGAGATGCATCATAATTTAAGCCTTCATTTTGTGGGGAAAATGGGGAAAAAATATCAACCCCACTGTATTGTTTTACTGTTTGTGCATTTTTGCAACTTAACCTTACATGAAGATTTTAAAAAAGCTAAGTGCAATTTTTTTCCTTTTCAGCTGAAATTCAGGCCACCCAGAAGTGGGTGAAGGTTCCTTCAATGTGTGAGGTACTTAATGTGGAAAATTCAGGGCATGGCGGAAAAATTCCTAGAAAATTAGCCAATCAAGTGGTAGAGAAGGTGTGGCAGGAGTGCAATCTGAACAAAACCCAGAAAAAGTGAGTATTTCTTGTAACTGAATTACTTGGCAGCTTTGGGGATGTGGGAAAGTGAGCAATCCTAGACTTCTTTACTTATTTTTCCCCACCTCCAATTTTTCTCCCAACGAACAGAATAGGGCTGTTAGGGTATTATCAGCAACCACAGCTTAAATCTAAATAAATGTGTTAGCCTTAAGTTTTATTTTCTGTTTCTTTCCTTGGGGAAGCTGGGATCATAGTCCCATTTCCTTTAATGGTCCTTCAGGTGCACAGTGCAGGAATAAGAACAACATTTAATTCAGGCAGTGTGTGGTACCAGGCTTATTCTTTGATGGGCAAGAGGAATTGCATAGAATATGTGCTGATTGGGGAATATGTGTAACTGTGAGCACATGGCACTTGTGTTAAAGATCTGGATATAATAGTGTGTTTCTTGTTTACAGGTTTTGTTTGTTAATTTGGGGGTTTCAGACATAAGATTTGTAAACTTAAACACTCAATTCTTTACTCAGTAATTAAATCACAGTACTATTATGTTTATATTTCTGTTATGACCTCCCTAGAATCTGCTAATGTTTTAATAAATAAATTCAAACTTCCAGGGATTAGCTGAAAGGATGACATGACAAGATTTCACATTTTAAGACTTGCTGTAGCAAAGACTGAAACACTACCTTTGTAGACAACTTGAACTTTATGCCACAAAATAGACCATTCTGTTTTTCCCTCCAGAGATTCTTCCTTGAGCATCAGCTAGCTGAATGTTCTAACCCATATAACTCATCATGAATTCGGTACTTTTAATTCAACTTCAGGCTCCCATCCGCATTCCTGCACGCTGAACCAATGTCTTGCTGCCTATAGCTGCACTCCCTCTCCTGAATCCTGACAGACTGCCTGTGTCTGAGAGTTTTCGAGGATATCTTAACAATACATCCTCTGAAAACCCATCTCCACCGCAATTACGTGGGCCATACATCCTGGTAAAAAGGCTGTTCAGTTATTCTTGCAAGTATCTATTGCCCCACGGTGTTCAATGCATTTCTAGCCCTGAAATCCCTCACTATCAATATCTTGGAGGTTACCATTTACTAGAAACTGAACTAGACTAGCCACGTAAATCCTGTGGCTACTGGAGCAGGCCAGGTACTAGGAATCTTGCGGTAAGTTACTTGCCTCGTGACTCCCAAGGCCTGTTTGTCATTTACAAGACACTTATCAGAGCTGTGATGGAATGCTCCCCACTCGCCTGGATGAGTGTAAGAAACTTGACAACATCCAAGATAAATCAACTTACTTGGTTGGCACCACATCCACAAGTGTTCACTGTCTCCATCACCAATGCTCTGTAGGAGCAGGGTGTACCGTAACAAGATGCATCATAGAAATTTGCCAAGGCTTCTTAGATAGCACCTTCCAATCCCGTGGCCAGCACTGATACTTCTGTAGTGACAGAAACATGATAACTAGGAATAGGAGTAGACAGTTCAGCCCCTTGAAGCTGTTTTGCCATTCATTGTGATCATGGCAGAACACATCTCTGCCTCATTTCCACTTTGCTGCTTATTTGCCATAATCCTTCAATCCAATGTATTAAAAATCATCTCCTTAAATTTATTCAGTGTCTGGGGTGTCAGGATGACTGTCCATAGTACTCCAACATTTCAATCGAAATGATCCTAACTCTAGTTCTTTTGCCATTTCAGTAAACCCTCGTGTTCCCGTGCAAACATTTCTGTCCTGTGCCTGCCACAGTATTTCAACGAAGCACTAGGAACAGCACCTGTTTTCCACTTATACACGCTGTAGTCTCTAGGACTTGGCGTTGAATTCCACAACTTCGGAGCATAATCGTTGTATCCTCCACACAATTTTCTAACCCCTTTTAGTTTAGAAGAGTCATATCAGACTCTAAACATTAATTGTCCTGTCTCCACAGATGCGGCCAGACCTGAGTTTCTCCAGTCTTTTTTATGAGCACCATCTAGAAGAACAAGTGCAGCAATCACTTGTGAACACCATCATCTGCATGTTCTCCTCTAAACCAGTTACCATCTTGACTGTGATTATATATCTGAATCCTGGAACTCCATTCATGTTTAACAGCACTTGGTGTACAATGTAGTTGGTAAAGAAGACTCATTGCCACTTTCTGGAAGGCAGTTGGGGATAGGCAATAAATGCTAGCCTAGTCAGTAAAGCCAATTTCCCATGAATGAAAAAAGAAAGTCCTAATTTTTTTAAAACTTGGAAATAAGTGGATAGTTTAAAGTTTGGCCCTTTATAGCCTGATATTGTAAATGCATCTGGAGATGTACAGTCAGAAAGCCCCCATCATCCCATTGGATGCACTTTCCACAGAGACATGACTGGTGTTGAGTTTAACTCGAGGCTCACAGTATCTCACAATTAAGGGGAGGTGAAGGCCTGGTAGTATTATCACTGAACTGTTAATCCAGAGACCCAGGTTCAGATCCCACCTCGGCATGTGGAGGGATTTGAATTCATTAAAAATCTAATGTTGATTGTTAGGGGAAGAAACACCTGGTTCACTAACGTCATTTAGGGAAGTAAACTGCCATCGTTATCTGGGCTGGCTTTCATGGCACTCCAGATCCATTGCAATATGGTTGATGCATAACCGGGCAGTTAGGAATGGGCAATAAACAGTGGCCTAGCCTGTGATATGCTTATCCCATGAGTGAATTAAAAAATAAATCTAAGGTGAGGTTGAGAAGGCAGGGCCTTCGTGGTAACCTCAGCTGGAACAGGCATTGCACCCTCTCCATTGGGGTCAGTCTGTAGCACAAACCAGTTACATAGCCAACTGAGCAAACAACTCCATTTACAGTCTATCCAATTTCAACACATAGGTTGCTGCCTTTCTCTTCAAGTGTAAGTGCCTTAACCCTTGTTTGAAATGAAATAATCTGGTCCGCCTTTAATCTGTAACAAGCTTTCAAAACTTGCTATCAGACTGCGAGCATGAATTGCAGAATGGTAGTATGCAGGTACAGCAACTAGTCAGGGAAGCAAATAGAATGTTCTGTTTTCTCTTGTTGAAGCTATTCATTGCATGGTCCTTGTATGGTACAACTGTTGCCTGTCATTTATCAGCTCACATCTTGTTATGCATGTTTTGTTGCACATGGACACTTGCTACTTCGCTATCTGAGGAGTCACAAATGGTGCTGAACATTTGTAATCTTCGTTGAATGCCTGAATTCTAATTTCATGATGGAGGGAAGATCATTGAAAGAGCTGAAGATGTTTGGGTCTAGGACACTACCCTGAGAAACTGCCGCAGTGGTGTTCTAGTGCTCAGATGATTGACCTCCAAAGACCACTGTTGTTTTCCTTTGTGCTTGGTATAACTCAAACAGTGGAGAAAATTGATCCTCTGATACCTGTTATGTTCAGTTTTGCTTGGAGTCTTTGATGCCATACTCAGCTAAACATGGCCTTGATGTCAAGAGTACTCAATCTAACATAATCTCCATGTCTGAACTTAAGGACCTTCACCTTTGTCCACCAGACTCCAACTAATGGAGAACTGCTAGGATCATGGCTCTTTATAGTCTGTTAATGATAGTCTGTTAATGACTGATGAACATGTCCTCCGTCTTACCCAGGTATGCCCAAGAGCAGGAGCTGTAGGCAGGGTGAGCAAAGTAACCATAGCACCATGGTACAGGAGCCTATCAAGAGTGAGGAGAATAGAGAAATTTCATTGTCATCGGGGATAGTGTGGTCAGGGAAGTCTGAACCTGAGCAGGAACCAGTAGATGTGTTGTATTTGGACTTCCAGAAGGGGTTCAGTAAGGTATCTCTCAAAAGTCCGTAAGATGAGATCCCACAGTGTGGGAGGTGGTATAATGACGTGGATAGAGAATTGGCTAATAGGCAGAGAACAGGGAGTGGGAATAAGTTCTTTTCAGGTTGGTGGCCAGTGGGATTCCACAGGTATTAGTACTGGACCTGCAATTGTTTACAATATATATTAATGATTTTGAAAAAGAAAGCAAATGTACTGTAACCAAATTTGCAGATGACACAAAACTAGACAGGCAAGTTTTAAAAGGGATAGACACAGTTTAGAGATATATTGTTAGGTAAAGTAAGTGGGAAAAATATTGATAATTGGGAGTTTAATGTGGGAAAATGTGAAGTTGTTCAATTTGGAAGGGAGAGCATAAGAACAGTATTATTTGAATGGAAAAAAGCTGCAGGGGCAACACAAAGGCACTTGGGGGTGTGTGTGAACCAAACACTGAAAACTAGCTCACAGGTGCAGCAGGTAATCGGGAAAGCTAATGGAATGGTGGCCCTTATGTCATGGGAGTCTTAATGCAACAGTACAAGGTGCTGGTGAGACCACAGTTGGAGTACTGTGAGCAATTTTGATCCCCTTACTTAAGAAAAGGTATTATTTCATTGGAGTCAGTTCTGAGAATGTTCACTAGAATGATCCCTATCCTATGGAGGGATTGTCTTATGAGCAAAGACTAAATATTGGAGTTCAGAAAAATGAGAGGTGATCTCACCTGAGACATATAGGATTCTTAAGTGTCTTGAGATGGTAAATGCTGAGAGATGTTTTCCTTCATTGGAGATTCTAGGACCAGGGGGCATTGTCTCAGAATAAAGGGGCACTAATTTAAGGCTGAGATGAGGAGGAATTTCTTTTGAGGATTGAGTCTTTGGAATTCCTTGCCAGAGAGAGCTGTGGGGGCAGAGTTCTTGTGTATATTTAAAGCAAAGATAGATATACTCTTGATTGGTAGGAGAATCCTGGGTTACAGGGAAAATTGGATCAGCCATGAACTTATTGAATGGTGGAACAGGCTCAAGGGACCTAATGGCCTACTTCTGTTCCTATTACAGTTCTCTGGCCAGTGGATACTGTGGGCTGGGGTGCATCATCTTCAATTTTTTTAAAGATTTCCTTTCTGGTATGGACTTTTGTAACTATGCACCTAGTGGGCTGACGGTCCTAATTCTGTTTATTTTGCTATCTGATTATTTTTAAAAGATAGATGCTCAGATTTCACATTTTGTGAAGTATCTGACAACAACGTCACAACAATCCCACAGCAATGAGAAATGTAGAATTCCCAGTCTGCTGTTTCAGTATTCTGACTGCCTCAGAACTGCTAAGGCTGGATTGAACAAACATTGTGATCTTTTTTCGGATGGTTTTGGATAAAAGAAAACATTGATCAATATCAAACTTAATTCAAATATGATCAATTCCAGACGGAAATATTCTAATGTGAATGGATGTGAAGATGATTCATCTGGCAAAGAGACATCATGGGATTTTGTTGAAGCTACACATAGGGTGAATTGCAACTGTTCAAGGTAGAGTACTTTTATCGAATGTAATCTTTCTGATCTTTTTTGTTTTTCTCATGAACACTTAATCCATTAGTTGCTGTTTAGGGACAAAATTAATTATTAAAGTGAGAATTAAAAAGATCACAGCAGATGCCATTGTGGACTGGGGTTGCTGTTAAAATGAGTTGCAGGTTTATCCAATGTGCTTTAGCTTTTTCAGTCATTGGGCAGTTCTGCTTTCCAGATCAGAATAAGGGTCAAGTTGTCAGACTTCCAATCTTCCCTGGCTTATAAAGTAGACTTTTGATCATAACTTTTATTATTTAAGTGTCTTAATTCATTTTGGCAATGGGATTGAAGGCTAGGCAGGCATGTAAACTGCCATAGCTGCTGAAAGGGATCTGAACTTTGAATTGAAAGGGTTGATTAAAAAAAATTTTAAGAATAGCAGCCTTTAAGAATAGCTGTTAAATTATCCACTTATTTGAGTATTTTAAATGTAGTTCAACGAGTTGATCTCCTGTGCAATTGGTCATGCACTAAAATGTCAAATCATTTGCTTCTCATGTATTATTTTTCTTCAAGTCTGTTTTGTTTTTCCTCATCCCACTGTTTAATTTCAGTTTATCTGCTTGTCATTTGTTCCTTTTCTGATTTTTAATTATATTGTACCATTTCTACTTTAAAAATAGACGACCATATACCAGTCAGCAAGTAATGGATTGCAGAAATGGGAACTGCAGTAACATGTATGGACAAATGAGCCTCTAGGCTTATGGTCTTCGGCTGTGACAGGGTGAAGACTTAAGAGATGTGCCTGGTTATTTTTCCATGGAAGTTCATTTGTCTTGCAAATTTTCCTTCTCTTCGTATCCTTTGCTCCATCTCGCTGCTTTTGTTTTGAGGCAGGGCGATGGAAGCATGGGCAGAGAGAAAATTAATTAGAAGGACAAAATGATTATGTTGATTTTGAGGATAAGGTCAGATTTTGAGAGGTGGAATTAGTCGTGATCCACATGTCTGTATTCTTGCAAACCTGACATTTCAAGAATGCATGTAGCAAATTTGAGTATGAACATAGCATTAACATCAGATTTCCACTTAACGTTCTCTATGTGAGGAACAGTCTCTCTTCAAAATTGAAGGCATTCGTTCATGATACAATTCTTGTAATTTTCTTCTGCACTGTCCTGAAGATCATCTTTACCCACAAAGTGTGCCACCCAGAATTGAGCATAACAGCTAAACAGTCTTTTACTAAAGTTTAGCATAACTTCCTTGCTTTTGTATCATCATCCTTTATTAGTAAAGCCAAGTGTTTCAAAAGCTATTTCAACTGCCTTCTCAATCTGTCTTGCTATCTGCAAAGATTTGGTTGGATACCCCCTTTAAAATTGTGTCGTATAGTTCCTACTGGATCTCCTAATGCTTCCAATAAAATTAACTACTTCACACTTCTTCTGTGTTAAATGTTATTTACTATATGTCATCCCATTTTACCAACCTTGCGTTCCTGAAACCTGAGACTGTCCTCCTGCATCAGTTACTGCATTTGAGACTTATTTCACTAACAACCTTTGACGTTGACTTGTATTCCCAAGTCCAGGATAATGTATTGACATCAAAAAGAACAGTGACCCTACCAACAATAACGTATTCCTGTGTTGAAAAACAATAGTTTGTTACTATTGTCTGCTTTCTGTCCTGTAACTAGTTTTATATTCATGCTGCTGTGTTCCCTTTGATCCCATAGTCTTTAATTTCTCCAGCTAGTCTGTTCTGATTTGACCTTCAGCTCATTGGGGTATTGAGAATGTTTCTTAAAATTGGCAAATATAAATTGAGTTCTCTACACTAAACTTTTCAGTTATCCATTTCTGTTTCAAGGTGCATACAGTTCTTTATGTGCATCAGGAAGCATGGTTAATTGGCGATGTTTGTTACTATCTCATATATATCTAAATTTTATAATTCCCCTACATTGTAAATGATTTGTGTACAGGAGGTCGCAGAAGCTTGTAAATAGAATGATGTATAATGTGGGAAAATGTGAAGTTGCTCACTTTGGCAGGAACAATGAAAAAGCAGTATTACTTAAATAGTGAATGACTGTGGCAGTCTGAAGTGCATAGGGATTTAGGTGTTCTAGTGTATGTGCCACAAAAGGTTAGTATTTTTGGTATAGTATATAATCAAGAAGGCCAATGGAATTGAACATAAAAATAAGAATATTACGCTTCAGTTATACAGCGCATTGGTGAGATCACTTTTTGAACACTAGCTTTCGTGTCCTTAATTAAGGAAGAATGTAAATGCATTGGAGGCAGTACAGATAAAGTTTACTACATTGATACCGAGAATAGCTAGATTGTTTTAGGATAGGTTGGACAGGCTGGGCTTATTCCTAGTGGAGTTTATAACTGAGACGTAGCTTGATTGTAGACCTCAAGATCCTGAATGTTCTTGACAGGTGGATGTGGAAAGAATGTTTCCTCTTGTATGTCAGTCCAGCTGTAGGAGGCATTGTTTTAAAATTAGAGATCATCTTTTTAGGACAGAAATGAGGAGAATTTATTTCAAATGGTTGTGTGAATTTGAAACTCTGCCTTAGAAGGAGGTGGAGAAGCGGTCATTGAATATTTTTAAGGGTGAGGTGGATAGATTCTTGTTAAGCTGGAGAATCAAACGTTACTGGAGGAGAATGTGGAATTTGAAACACAAACAGATCAGACTTAGTCTTATTAAATGGCAGAGAAAGTGGCTGAATGGCCTGTATCTCCAATTTTGTTTGTCAAATAGTAATACCTCATTTGGGTTACCTCAAATATCATCAGTTGTCCTGGTGTGAACTCGTGTACATAATGTTATTTCTTTTTTAAAAGCAAAATCCTTATTTTGACTTTGACTGCTATAATTTTACCAATACTTTTGCAGGCATAAGAATAAAAGAGGCACTGGTGTCCAAGGACAGTCTCAGACTCCTGGTCCACAACAGTCAACAGCACTCAAGCATAAAATGAACGACAAGCAAGAAAAAGGGGAAAAACAACAGAAGCGACCACTAACTCCTTTTCATCACCGTAATTCAGTATGTGATGACGTTGCAATGGAACCGGACTCAACTAATCACAGACTTGGAATTAGGCAACAGGACAACAGAGGAAGGTATCCAAATACAAGGCCTAATGACCTTGTAAGCTCCACAAAGTCCTCACAGTTACACATCCCAGAGCTACCTAACTCGCCACCACCGCCACCCCTCAGCCCTCATCCATGTGAGAGGGGTGAGGATGTGGGTGATGCATTTAAAAATCCATTGACGCCTCAAAGTCAGCCATTCTGCCAGATACCTGCTCCAGATCCACTACTACCAGGCAAAGTTGTTGAGGACAGGATGGAGACAGTTCCCACCCAAGCTTTCTCGTTGGGTTTTTCAGAAGTGATGGAGCCTACAACTTACAGTAGCAGTGTGTTGCAATTTGAAGATAATGGGCCTGATGTCACATGGAAATGTTATCGACTGCCCACTTACATGGAATCTGATTTTGTGCCACCACAGCTGCCATTGGATAAATACAGAGAGGAGTATACTGCAGTGAACAACCAAGAGCATGCACTTTCTTCTGTTTCAGAGTAAGTGTTTCGTGAAATATTCGGAAAATAATTATTATATAGCACAAAACATCATTTTTTTTTGTTGCCAGAAAACAAACTGATCTTAATTTGGTTTGAGTTGATGATTGTAATGTAGCCGTAGTATTTTTGGATTATTTCAGTTTCATTAGTAAGGAACGTTGTCTGAAAGTATGCTTGATTGCTCAGTATCGATAGAAGTGGCTGAATTGGACATCAAGGAAATGATTATTTCTGATCTATTAATGGGACAGAATTAGGGAATTAATAACTGGGCACAGTATTAATTGTATAGAGCAGCCCACTCCTGTTAGTTTTTAACTAAATGCAATTGGGAACTTTGTGTTGAATGAAAATAAAGCTGACCTTCTTTCTTCCCATGGGCATACAAACACTGTTGAAAAGCTCATATTTGGTGGTCTAGGCTCAGAAAGTAACTCAGTCAGGTACTACATTGTGGCTGTACTGTAGCAGGGCTTAATGCAAGGAGACTAAAATAAAGTAGTGGATGTAAACTATATATGTTGAGCGGTATTATCTGTTATGTTCTGGCAGGATTCCTGAGACGAAATGAAACGAGAGAACTTTAAAAATTAATTAATATATAAAAAGTAATAATGAAAACGAAAAACAAATAAACCAAAATATACAAAATAACAACATATTGTGTGGAATGGCAACAAACAATGCACTTAGCCACGAATGTAGTGTTTTTTTTTTTAAAAACAGTATGTAGGCTGAACTACCCTGAATCCTTCGTTTTCCTAGTCTTTCAACAAATGAACAAAATACTTCAGTAGAAATGAAAAGTTAAAGACATGGGAGGAGATATATGTATCCAAATTAGTGACTACATTTAAACATAGTATTGAATTTTATGTGCAAAATATTAATGTGTATATCTTGGGAGCTTGCTTCCATGTCTGCCTTCAGAGCAGGGAAGAGAAAGTAGTATTGGTTTATAGGGGAAGATACTGAGAAGGTGAGGCACGGAGTCATGAAGCTGAACTGTCAAATATATTGTGCAAATGTGAGCGATTCCTTACAAAAACTAATTCAACAAGAACATGAATAGTGCTTTGGTTGTTTAGAAAAAATACTTTGGGCATATAATCTCTTAAACCACGTGAAATTACCATGTTTTAAGAGCTACGCAATAGATTCTCCTGTCCAAAGGATGCTGAAAGAATTACTGAAGCCAATTATTTAACCTTAGGTATTGACGGAAAAAAAGACATACTTTTGAAAATGAGATAACAAGGTGTAGAGCTGGACGAACACAGCAGGCCAAGCAGCATCAGAGGAGCAGGAAGGCTGACATTTCGGGCCTAGACCCTCCTTCAGAAATGGGGGAGGGGAAGGGTGTTCTGAAATAACTAGGGAGAGAGGGTGAGGCAGATAGAAGATAGGTGGAGAGGAGACAGACAGGTCAAAGAGGCGGGGGTGGAGCCAGTAAAGATGAGCATAGGTGGGGAGTTAGGGAGGGGATAGGTCAGTCCAGGGAGGACGGACAGGTCAAGGGGGCGGGATGAGGTTAGTAGGTAAGAGATGGGGGTGGGGCTTGGGGTGGGAGGAGGGGATAGGTGGGAGGAAGGACAGGTTAGGGAGGCGGCGACAAGCTGGACTGGTTTTGGGATGCGGTCGGGGGTGGGGAGATTTTGAAGCTTGTGAAGTCCACATTGATACCATTGGGCTGCAGGGTTCCCAAGTGGAATATAAGGTGCTGTTCCTGCAACCTTCGGGTGGCATCGTTGTGGCACTGCAGGAGGCCCAGGATGGACATGTCGTTTGAGGAATGGAAGGGGGAGATGAAATGGTTCGCGACTGGGAGGTGCAGTTGTTTAGTGCAAACCAAGCGTAGGTGTTGAGCAAAGCGGTCCCCAAGCCTCCGCTTGGTTTCCCTGATGTAGAGGAGGCCACAACGGGAACAGCTGATACAGTATACCACATTAGCAGATGTGCAGGGAACATCTGCTTGATGTGGAAAGTCTTCTTGGGGCCTGGGATGGGGGTGAGGGGCAGGTGTAGCACTTCCTGCGGTTGCAGGGAAAAGTGCCGGGTGTGGTGGGGCTGGAGGGGAGTGTGGAGCGGACAAGGGAGTCCCGGAGCGAGTGGTCCCTCCGGAAAGCAGATAAGGGTGGGGAGGGAAAAATGTCTTTGGTGGTGGGGTCAGATTGCAGATGGCGGAAGTGTCAGAGGATGATGCGTTGGATCCGGAGGTTGGTGATGTGGTACGTGAGGATGAGGGGAATTCTGTTTTGGTTGTTATTGCGGGGAGGGGGTGTGAGGGATGAGTTGCAGGAAATGCAGGAGACACGGTCGACCACTGAGGGGAGGAAGTTGGGGTCCTTGAGAAACGAGGACATCTGAGATGTACGGGAGTGGAATGCCTCATCCTGGGAGCAGATGCGGCGGAGGCGAAGGAATTGGGAATAGGGGATGGCATTTTTGCAGGAAGGTGTGTAGGAGGAGGTGTATTCTAGGTAGCTGTGGGAGTCGGTGGGCTTGAAATGGATATCAGTTTCCAGGTGGTTGCCAGAGATGGAAACAGAGGTCCAGGAAGGAGAGAGAGGTATCAGAGATGGTCCAGGTGAACTTAAGGTTGGGGTGGAAGGTGTTGGTGAAGTGGATGACTGTTTGTTTGAGCTCCTCGTGGGAGCACGAGGTGGCGCCGATACAGTCATCGATGTAGCGGAGGAAGAGGTGGGGTTTAGTGCCAGTGTAGCTACGGAAGAGGGATTGTTCCACGTAACCTACGAAGAGGCAGGCGTAGCTTGGGCCCATGTGGGTACCCATGGCCACCCCCTTTGTCTGTAGGAAGTGGGAGGAATTGGAAGAGAAGTTGCTGAGGGTGAGGACGAGTTCGGCTAAGCAGATGAGTGTGTCACTGGAGGGGGACTGGTCGGGTCTGCAGGACAGGAAGAAGCGGAGGGTTTTTAGGCCATCTGCATGGGGAATGCAGGTGTAGAGGGACTGGACGTCCATGGTAAAGATGAGGTGTTGGGGACCGGGAAATTGGAAGTTTTGGAGGAGGTGGAGGGCGTGGGTGGTGTCACGGACGTAGGTGGGGAGTTTCTGGACCAAGGGGGAGAAAATGGAGTCGAGCTAGTTGGAGATAAGTTTGGTGGGGTAGGAGCACGCGGAGACAATGGGTCGACCAGGGCAGTCAGGTTTGTGGATTTTGGGAACAAGATAGAAGCGGGCGTTGCGGGGTTGGGGAATGATGAGGTTGGAGGCTGTGGGTGGGAGGTCACCTGAGGTGATGAGGTTGAGAATGGTTTGGGAGATGATGGTTTGGTGGTCGGGGGTGGGATCATGATCAAGGGGGCGGTAGGAGGTGGTGTCGGAGAGTACTTTTGAAAATTTTCATCTTGTGCTCATCAGCACAGAATCAAACCTGAAGGAGAAAAACAGTTTATATTGCTTGAGACGTTGGTGCTGATTTGGTGGGCAAGTGGACTCTGGTAGAAGCGTTACCATGGAGAATGCACCAGGGAACAGTTAACTGCCAGCCTTCTCGTTTTGAGGTTACCATGAAGGTAACCTCACACTCTGTCTCACTGAACCCCCCCACCGCCCCCCGCCCCAGGCATGGTGACCCTCAGGTTAAACCACTACTGGTTGTGTGTTTCTAATGAAGCCCTGTGGTCTGCTAGAACTGTGTTTTTCTTTACCTTTTTATTTACATTTAAACCAAAGGCAGGTTGACTCTGATCAAGGGACTCCAACAGGTTTTTGTTTAGTTGAAAAAGGCGTAATGTTTGGGCATGTTTTTCTGTGTGTGAATATATGTAATAACTAGCATCCATAAGTGAGCCGCATTGCAAGCCCAACTGATCATCTTAAATTGGTTGTTTGTATTTTTCTCAACCCTCAACAATACTAGTTAATAGTGTATTTTATAAGGCCACTGTGTCTTTGTCATTAATTGGTTTGAGGGTTCTGGGGAAATATTGAAACGTACAGAATATCCACATTGCAGAAACGTGCCATTATGTCATTTGTGGTTGCTGTGACTAGGAATTGGTGATACACAGATGATTAAGCTGATATCCTGGCCCTTTCTTTTGATTCACTTTGAAATGAATTGGAAGAATTAATAGAGAAACTGGTGGTTTGGAAGTCTCTAATTATCTTGTCTCTCTCCCTCAAAAATTGTTTTCTTTTAATTCTGTCATTAAACTCCACCTGGACTAATTTTTATGTTTGCTTGGAAACTCCTATTCTAGGAATAAATGACAAAAAGCAAATAACTGACTAGCTGTAATAGCTAAATTTTATCCGGGGATAACTTCTAAATTTGCTGATGATGCAAAATTGTGTTTTTTTAGCAGGGAGGGGTGGGGGTGAATTGTTGCAAAAGTCAATATTGAGGATGACTGCAGCATACAATAGGAGGACATTAATAAACTAGCATAATCAGCAAAAAATTGATAAATGAAGCTCAACAATGAAGGATAGGGGTGTCACTTCTTAGATCAAGAGTGCAACTCTCGGATGGTAGGGTACGAACACATGAACCACTAAAAGTTGTCCCTTTGCTAAGCTTTATTTCTAGACGGAAAGGATTAAAAAGTAGAAATGTCATTTCAACCCTGTACTGAATGTAGGTTAGATCACATAATATACTGTGTGCAGTTTTGGTTGCGATAAAAAAGGTGTAAAGTCACAGAGGTCTCCAGCATGAAAGGCCCTTTGGCCCATTGAGTCTGCACGGGTCCAAAAAAAGCACTTAACTATTCTAATCCCATTTTCCAGCACGTGGCCCATTACTTTTCTTGCCTTGGTAAGAAAAATACTCGTAAATGTTTCTTAAATGTTAAGAGGGTTTCTACCTCTATCACCCTCACAGGCAGATTTCCAGATTCCCATCACCAGAGAAAATGCACAAGGATGAAGAACAGTCATAGGACTTAAAATGTTAACCCTGTTTCTCTCTGTACAGATGCTGCCAGACCTGCTAAGGTTTGCCAGCGATTTATGATTTTATAAAATAAATA